TACTAAGAGAAAATAACAAACTCTGTGGATCTGACCCAATATCAGCTCCAGTAATGCTACCATCTGGTACCCCATTTAATAGAATACCAATATCATAATGACCACTCTTAGAAGCAGAAATTAGAATATTTGCTGAAAACTGATAAATACCATCACAAATAGATACAAAGTTTCCAACATCTTGAGAAAACCCAGTTCTGCTCTTAAACAAGCCAGGCTTATCTTTAGCATTCCATTTTAAAATACTATTCCAATCATTGTTTTCTATGTAATATTCTTGAGTCAAATATGAAGAAAAACCAGGAGCTTGGTTGTAAAAGCTAACAAATTGTATACAAAATGTTGATTCAGAACCTCCCCGAATTATCCAACTTTGGTCTAACTCAGAAAATACATAAACTGATACAACATCACCAGAGAACAAGCGAGTTGTTCCATATACTGATAAACTTTTGTATCCAACTGAATCTTGAAAAGAGCTGGAAAGGCCAGGGTGACTGTTAACTAAGTCATTATTACTAACTAATGCTACTTTAAAAACACCATTTTGAGCACCAGAAAAAGTTATTGTAGTAAACACTTGGTATATCCCAGATTGTGATACTTTAAAATCTGATGTATTGAATATGCTTGATGAAGTAAAGTGACCAAACCCAGCTGAAACAGACCAAGATGATATTTTTGACCATCCAATAAAAGCTATTTGTATGTTTTCATTTAGATATGAACTAACTGCAATATTTGAGAATGCTTAAGAAACAGAGAAAAAACATCAATTTTTTGAAAAGTTAATAACATCTCTTTTATATTTCCTAAAGATATATAAATATATATATATATATATATATATATATATATATATATATATATATATATATATATATATACATATATATATATATACATATATTTATATATGTATATATATATATATATATATATATATATATATATATATATATATATATATATATATATATATATATATATATATATATATATAATATATATATATATATATATATATATGAAAACTAAGAAACTACGATGAATAAGCATAAAATAAACACACACATAAAAATTTTTTTTTTTCACTATCCCGTACGCAGCATTAGGTCTGACAAAATTGTTTTGTTCAGAAGTAATAAAAAGTAAGCGTTACAACCGTAACTCTACTTTGAGTTAAATTTTAAAAAAACTTGAAGACTTCAATGCTGTAACTTTTACATACAAAACTATATAACAGTATTTTACAGTTCTTGAAAGTTTCAAGTCATTTCTGTTTCTGATTTATTTTCAATAACTTAAAGCAAGTCAAATATTATGACCGCCACTCACGTGGAATTGCCCATATAAATACATATATAATATATATATATATATATATATATATATATATATATATATATATATATATATATATTATATATATATATATATATATATATATATATATATATATATATATATAAATATATATTCGGGTGGGTCATAAAATTTTTTTCTCTTGTTACAGGCTCTAAACATTGCTAATAGTTATTAATATTGATACTATCAAATATGAGAATGATTGTGATAGATTTAAAGGGCACAACTTTATTAGGAAAATTAACGGTACCCTTATATTTTAGTGAAAAAAAGTTTTTCAAAAGTAGGTCAATCTGGTACTCAAAAGTAGCGAAATTTTTTTAAAAATTCAAAAATAATAATCGTTTTATAAAAATCATATTTCGAAAAAAAATTGTTATTTAAAAATATGTAAAAAAGCACCTTTTTCACTTTTAGTTAAAAATCAATAGTTGTTATGCAATAAAATCTAAAACAATAATTTTTATATAAAAAAATTATTATTTTTGAAACTTTTATAAAATTTTGCTTTATTTGAGTACCTACATCACATAATTTTGAAAAAAAATTTTTTGAATAATAATAGGGCCTGCTAATTTTTGTA